AAGATATAAATTCTAAAAAGAAAAAGATAAGAATAAAAATAAATGAAATCTGTTGATGAACCATTTCTAAAGCATTTCTGAACTGTTGTTGAACCATTTGTGAACTGTTATTGATTTTAGGGTTAATTTCTTATTGACAATCTTCAAACATTGCAAAAACATTGCAAAAACATTGCAAAAACGTTGTTGAATCGTGATTGAATCCATAACTGATACACCAATTATATTATTTGAGATCACATGTTGTCCAAAGATCAATTGATTGGTCGCATTTTCCAAGTTTGAAAAATTATAAAATTAAAGAAATTATGTTACTACGGTAATAATAACAGCTACGCACAGTCACTCAGGATAACACTCCTTTCTGTTCTCATGCTTTTCACTAGTTGAAATCTCAAAATACAGTAGAGATTCAGTATGTATTCAGGTTCTGAATCCCACTAAATTATACAAAACTCAGATAAAATTTAGCAAACTCAGATCTGAATACATGCTGAATCTCCACTGCATTTTGAGATTTCGACTAGTATTTCCATTTCCATTATACTCAGCAATTATACCTAACAGTTATATCTGACAGATAGATCCACTTGATTTTATCTGATTAGCTTAAATCTTTATCTGGTTAACCGGGTAACCTGTAGGTCACCCGATTAAGTACGATTCAGATCCAATCTCTACTTGAGCATATGATAAAGTGAAGATATCCCAAATGAGAAATGCAAAAAAATAATAATTTGACCATCTGGATTTTGTTATGTCAAAATTAAAATTATGCAATTAGTTTTCTTCAAGAAAATTTGAATCAAACACTATAATAATTTGCCAAATTATATATATACTCTAAAAGAAAGTGATCAAGTCAAATGTTCAGAGACTATTTGAACTTTGGTTAAACAAGAAGTAATAAAAAATTATTCATCAGTAGCAATTGTCAAAGTTATTAAGAAGTATGCAACTAATGAACTAAATCTTGGTGTTAGTATTCAAAACTTAAAATGAAGGGAAGTCACAAATATCAAATACAAGTTTCATGGATCTATAGAGACTTATTTTATTAGTAGTGCTAACTTAAAGTCAGATGTTCTGAAAACTGTATTCTATTTAAATAAATAAGAATATCATATTGAATATTATCATGTTTCCAATCAGTTCACTAAAGGTATTATTTTTACATATTCTAAGCAATTTAAAAAACTATGACATCACAGCTGGCTTACTTTAATTGACTCTATATATAAAACAAATAAATACAATTGATATCTATTTACTTTATATCTTCATGATAGCTACAGATGCTGGGATATTAGTACTTACTTTTTCATAAGTAATGAAGATAGTGAGACAGTTACTAAAACATTACAAATAATCTAAAATAAATATTCTTATTAGATATCCTAATATATTCTTATAGATCAGAGTAGTATTAAAACTAATAGTATAAAGTGAGTTTTTTCTAATCTTCTTGATGATGAACAATAATGTGATATAATTCTTTATACTATCTATATTATGTGAACATGGATAATAAAAATTTATGAGAAAAAAGCTTGGGAAACTATGATCCTAGCGATGTATAAAAAAATAAAAATCAGTTATGAGTAATTGATTCAAGAAGCTATCTATTCTTGTGTAGTTCTGACAATCTGTAAATATATTGAAAAAAACTATCTTAAAAATAATTATCAATAGGCTCTCTGGGCTTATCAATACTTATCTTTTCTTTTATAGGTTACTTCTACAAATACGCTTGAATCCTATCATAGGGAGCTAAAATGAATAACATCTTACTAATTTGTGCTTGATCTTTATTTTAGGTGCTTCTCATAAAATCATCATTCTTGATCATAAGAAGTGAGCTGATTCTGAAAGTGTCACCTTCAATTTCCAAACAAAAAAAATATCTATTTATGACATTAATGATAAAATTCTTGAAGAAATCTTTTCTTTTCTATGCAACAAATGCTTATCAAAGAGACTTTTGCAGTGATGGATAGATTAGTAAAAGATAAGAGTGTACCAGAACTTATTTTGCTCAATTATCATTATCTATTCCATAATCATTATATGTTGCTATATAAATATATTTTTCATAAATATATGTATGGTACTACTAAGTTATTGACTACTGATGCTTGAAGAATGTTTCAAGAACTATTTGAAAAAAGTGGCTTTGAAGTATATCATCATCATAAATTTGTAATGATAAAGATGCCTGAACAAACTACAGAAGAAAAAAGAGTGGAAAATTGGTAGCTTATGATAAATGAATTAACCAAAAGGTTGCACAATAAATATTGGAAAGTTGAAGAGAGAGGTAATAGTAGACAAACAGAGATGTTTATTTTTAAGCTGGAAACTTCTTTAAATCTTATTTTTAGTAAGCTTGATGCAATTTAATTTTATTATAATTTTTTCATTATAACTTTTTTTTGATTACAATTCATAAGTTAGATATTCAGATTTAAATTTACTGGTTAAAAATATCTCGGTGATGAGAAGAGATAATAGAAAACTTTTTTTTGGCAAATTGAAAGAAATAAACTTTTCTTTGATTAAGCTTTATTGAAATAAAAGTTTAATAATTACATATTGTTTATTGTTATCCATTATTCTTACCCATTGTTATCCTTAAGCATTGTGATTCTTACGCATTGTGATCCTGACGCATCGTGAATCTTACGCATTAAAGCGTTCTTGTCTTGTCGTTAGTTTTTGACCAATAGCGAGGCTCGATGCCATGTGATTAATTCTCGTGATTTTTACGTCACAGTAAATCCGATTGGTTGGTGATCTAAAATTTAATTGACCAATGATTGTGATGGCGCCAATCGTGGCTGGGCACTACTCCGCTTTAACGGTACCCCTTAATTGGTGATGATTTATGAACTTAACCATATGCATAATTGTGTATGGACATTTTCGATATCGGTTAGTAACTATGCGCATAGGCACATCTCTAGGTATGATTGTACACACTAAATATTTTTTTAAAGTTCGTCTTTGCGATAATACAAATCCGCAGTAATATTACAAAAGAATTTTACAAAAGAATTTTTCGAAACATGATTATTTTTACAATAAGATATTATTCAAGACTGGATATTAATAGTTCAGTCAAATATTTTCTAGAATCATTGTCAAAAGTTTCGATTGTTGATTTACCATTACTCAATTTAATCGTTGCTGCTGGGGAACTCAAAGTTATAATAAATCCTGAAATTATCTCATCTCGTGTTATACTAACATCGTCGATACCAACCTGTGAAATTAAAAGACAGAATTTGTTCAATAACTTCTTTTTATAAGTTTTATTATGACTTTATAATTATTACACACCTCAGATAAACGGGTTAACATCTTGTGAAGTTGCACATTACCCAAAAGAAGTCTCGAAGTAGGTGAATCTTCAGTTTCTTGTTCTAATACAAATCGACTATTCTGTATTGACAAATTTCCTTGTAAAGAAGCAACCAAAGTGTCTTCGATTTTTATTGGACGAATAGTTTTTGCAAGCTAATCAAATAGATTCAAATATAAGTAAAAGGAAAAATACTGAAAATGAAAAAGTTCATTTGACCTACCGTTTCTTTTAATTGTGTTCTTTCGTATTGAGCCCTAATGGGTGTCTTTAGAGTATCCAAGTATTCGTAAAAACTTATCTTTGAATGCGGAAAATATTTTTCTATTGTACCAACAGCATTAGACGAGACTATGATTTGTGGTGTACTTCCCTTCATTAACTCGCTAAGTTGATTGATTGACATTCGAATATCTATCGGTAAATATTTGATGTTCATTTTCACTCCTTCAAAGATAGATGATGCCACACTAAAATCGAATTCGGAATCTATATAAAAAATAGTCAATAAAAACAAGTTTCAAATACAGCTTGAATTTTTTAATTCGTAACCTGTTAAGATCATCACATTCTTAGAATCTTCTCGCCATTTATGTATAAAATCAATAACGGGACCACTTCGCAACGAAGGATGGCCAGCAAAAACTATACATGGTTCCTTATATCTTTCATTAATAGAACTGTCAACATGTGCGACGTGAATTAGTCTCCCTTGAGCCATTAAATTCTTGTGTTCCATTGGGTCTTCAGGCGCATAAACCTTTTCTTGATTCTGAACACACATCCTAAAAAAGGGCATTGCCTGCGATTATTAAGTTTTAAGTATAATCGATCTAAGGAATTTTGAATTATACCATTCTGATAGAATATTGGAATATTGAAGCGATTCTTCGGCCACAGGAGAAGCAATGTAAAACGGATTCTGATCGGCTTTGAAGCGATTACTTAGGTCTTTCAACAAATCGAAAATAATCCCATTTAAATTACACGGAAACAAAATATTACCACCCTGTCGTAAGCTATTAGCTTTACATATAAGACAATTTAATAAAATTAATTAATTGAATACATATTAAACGTAAAGTGCAAAAATAATTACCAACAATTGATTGGATCTCATTAAGAATCTTATCGTAAGAGTCGTTTAATTCTTTACGGATGTCAGTTAAAAGCATCACGTTAGTATTTTCCAAGATGGTACTATCAAAAGGAGCAGGGTGAATATTATTTCCGACAGAAGAGGAAGATATAATTGATATCTATGTTGAAATGTCAATTTGAAATTAAATGAAATTTTAACAAATCAAACATTACGAAAGAATATAAATAAACTTAAATACAAACCTTTTTATACGCATATTCTATGGTCCAATTCGCGCCTCCCAAACAATAACCAGAGCTAAAAGCAGTTACTTTAAGCGAATCATACACCATCTGGTAAGTAGTCGAATTTAGCTTAAAAAGCTGCGCAAAAATTAAGAAGAGCTAAGGAGGTTCAAAAATCTCACCAGTTCTTCACCATATCTCACAGGTTGTATTTTTTTAATACATGCTTGAACATCAGCTAATGAATATAATGAACGAGCATGATTCATGTTGGGATTCTCTATTGGTTCAGTATTCTTTCTAAAAATTGTTAAATTTGAATTCTATAAAAATTTAATGAAAATGGTTTACTATTACTTTAAGAATATTTTTACTTTGACTGAGTAGATACGCGTCGTTTAGTCGCATCAGAAAGAGGACTCTCTCCGAAATAATGTACCAGTTCTTTCATAAGCTGCCTGAAATTAATAAGTTCAATAAATAAATAAATAAATAATAGATGGATTTAATAATAATATTGAACTAGAAACAGACGAACCCTCCAAGCTCAATAGTCGGCTCCGTTGCATATATACTTCCTTCAAAATTCGTGTATTCCGTGATAAATGGTAAAGCAAGCATATGCCTGAAATTAGATATTATTATAAAATCTATTGAATTCCAGTCTATTATTGAAAAATCTGGTGTCTGAACAACGAATTCTCCGCCTGGCCGTATATTAGTGCCCGAGTCTGTAAGAACATCTATTTTACGACGTTTGTACTTCATATCCCCTCCAGTAGAGTTATACGCTGTGCTCGGTTTTTGAGAAGAGTCAGGGTTTAATATGTCTAGAAGTTTTTGCTCTTCCTTCTGTCCGGTGGCAACACGTGGTGGAAACTTTAGAATGGAAGACATGTCTAAACCACAATCAAACAAGAACTCCATTTGATGGAGTTTCAATAGGAAACAATTTGAACGTGGATTTTGACTAAGGCAATCCTGCATAGAATATAAAATAAGCCCAGAGAACCATGAAAATTTCGCTAAATAATAATATATAAATCCAACTTACAAGCTTCATTCTTTGTATTATCAAAACCTCATGTTGAAAAATAACGTTCGCGTTTTCTTAATGAAACAGTCACGTGCCACGTATAGATCACGGACATCGATCGAATGTTTAACAAGGAAAGTTGTTACGTACGAGTATCCAGAAAGATATACCTCACTTCTAAATTTCCTGATCATAAGATCGTTACTGACGTCGGGTCTGGTCTCAATTGGAAATGACGAGGATTCGTGTCCATTCTGGAACGAGTGTACGCAGGAAATCTCGAGGAAGTTGTACCGATTGTGCATGAGCTCGTCGAGTGGATTTTTCAGAAACACGATGTCAAATTTGTGGTTCTCGGTACGGATATTGAATTAACAGACCCAGACACAGGCGAACTTGCAGAGGATCTACTATCTATTGTCACAGTGTTCACAGCCAGACACAATGGTCTTAGGGCTGCCGCAAACAAAAAAAGAAGACAAGAGATTGAAGACGCGCAAGA